TATACTCTTAGCTGAAGACTCTTCGCTCCTGTGTACTTACATTTTTTTTTTTTTTGTTTGAAAGACAGATTATTATTTTATTGTATTCATGGGGAAGAGCTAAACTCACAGGGATGGGGAAGGGGGTCATAAAACGTCTTGGGACTGTGAAGTAATTAAGCTCAATCCGGAGATGTGGACGATAGTGCGATTCTTTGGATTAATTGTTATTCGCCGGCATTAAGTGACCCATTTTGAAGGAGGGATGAAAGGGAGAGTGCCAACAAGATGGACAATTAGAAGACTCTCAGAGCACAAGAAGCCTATATTAAGACATGTTTCGTTCAATTTGAGGTTTATTAAATTAAGACTTGATAAAACTCTCCTTGAGAAAAATTTTATAAGTTTTGTTTTGCTCTAAGTGTTTTTTAATTGCCAAGATAATTTGTTATTTTCAGGATATGAGGAAATTCTCATTAAATTCCTGAGGATTCCAAGTTGCACCCTTCTTCATACTTCCTTCACAGACCTTCTCCTGAAGCATTCAATTTCATTCATTTACTTAAGTTTGTTTTCACTCTTGTTCCATTTCTTGGTGGTACACCTGCCGCTAAAGCCACTTCTAACTACAACACTATTTTGCTGTTTCATTAAAGCAGTTTTTGTCTATTGCATTTTTCCTGCAACAATTCATTTCTCTAACGTGAATCACCGGTAAATGAAGCCGGATAACGTAAATGACTCCTTACCACATTATAAGCTACTCTATAATATTTTTGTCACTGAATTAATGACTGTCAGCAACTCTTCACTATTTCTAACATTTAATAAATTTGTAAATGATTCACTGGAGTTACGATCACTTATGATTTGTCTTAGCAACGTCAGAACTCTATTATAACCAATAAGTCTAATAAATAAGGCATTCTTTTTAAGATAAGAAGTCCCATCATTTCATCGTAATTGAAAAATCAGCTCTAGCATCACCTATGATTTGCTTTCTATTATTATTATTATTATTATTATCATCATCACTGGAAAATGTTAAACTTCTGCCTGTGTCTGTTTATTTTCGTAAAATTGATCATTATGCTCATTCACATCACAGTTATTCTGTGGATCAATTTTTCAATTCGTTTCTACCCAGCAACTTTATGTCTCAACTCCTTCAAGAGGCCTCTGTGGAAATATGTCAGTGTAATTTTATGCGGATCATTTTAGGCTGTAAGTGCTATTAATCTGCATCGGCTCAGATAAACATGTGAATTTGTTGTGGAACAGGTGAAAAAAATGGACAAGTGAACAGGACAAGAGAGTGTAAGAAGATTTGCCAAAACGGAAATCGAGCCCGGTATCTTTTGATCTTTTTTTTCAGTTTTCCCACGTGGTAATAATTTATGAGTTTTCGAATTTGAGCCTCTGTGGGCTAGTTTAAAAGACTAAACATACATTTTTTACTCTCTGTCTTTCCTTAATTACTCTCTGTGTCTCTCGCTATTACATTTTTCACTCTTAGGCTTTTTTACTTACGCACTCTTACCTTATCTTACTTTATTTCGCTCTAACATTCTTCCATTTTAAAACCCTTTCACTCTAATAATTCTTACACACTCTCACTCTCACACAGACACACTCTCCCTCTCTCTCTCACACATACACACACACACTTTCCCTCTCCAGCCACCGCTCACACTCAAGTCTTCACTCTCTGAATTTCAGTGATGGAACAAGGTGAAAATTTCTTCTGATCCCATTCACACTTCACTAGCCTCGGAGGTGAGGATCATCCCTTTGTTTTATATTGGCAGGGCAGCGTACGTATTCCAGGAGGTACCACCTGGCAGCTAAGGAGAAAATGCCTCAACCAGCTCATCTGTGAGAAAGGTGGAAATATCGGAAATATTTTTGATAAGGTTGGTAATTATATTATTTAAAACCATTCTTTTAAGAAGATATTTAAGTGAATCAATTTAAGTCAATGTGAAATTACATAACAGTGTGTGTGTGTGTGTGTGTGTGTGTGTGTGTGTGTGTGTGTGTGTGTGTGTGTGTGTGTGTGTGTGTGTGTGTGTGTGTGTGTGTGTGTTTGTGTGTGTGTGTGTGTTTGTGTGTGTGTGTGTGTGTGTGTGTGTGTACTCATTAATTTGTTGTTACAGGGGTCGAGTTTCAGCCCCTGGCTATGCCTTTTAGTTTTCAACTTGCCAGATTTGCTCTCTTCTAGCCTCATGTGCTCTGTCATACCTCTTCCTAACACTACGTATAGTGTCTGCTTCACTACTTCGTCGTCAAGGCCTTTCCACTTTCTACCCACCTTTAGAATTAAAAAACAGCAACCTCTTCACTAATTTTCCCACGACACAAGTAGTGGAATTTCTACATAAGAAAGTCGGTGGTGACGCAAGCCACCTCCTCCTAATAAAGACTTCGTCGACGTTGTCGAACTGTGCATCAGTTACGGCTGATTCAGGTTTGAGCAAAACAAGGGTAGCGTTTTGAGGTCTCTACTGCCTAACCCATCAGCACCGTATTAGTTAAACAATATATGAAACATTTAGAAACGGAATGCTTTAAACCTCTCATCCCCCCCCC